CGGCTTGCGCTAACCACCAAGGTAATAACCGACAGACAAATTTGGCTACCACTTGAGCAAGACACCCCCTAGAATTCTGTATGAAGTAGATTGAAGGTTCTTCGTGATCTTTTAGGAACAAGGCTCTTTTGATCTTTGTTTTACTACTTTTGATCTTCAATTACCACAGTGGCCAAATTCCCTCAAGAGAATAGTCGAAGTTTTTCTGCTTAGCACTTTAGGATGCAAACTATACATGTAACTGCAGTCCAGTTTTTTTTCTATTGACTGCGAAAAAGTCTCTATACTAATATAGATACTAGGAGTGTGTAGTTTGAGCAGTTTGCAGTACAGCAGGCCTTAGGGAAGAATACTTTTGTGACGACCCATGAGGAGGCACCGACAAAACGTCATACGGTTGTCTTTAGAACAGTCTATTATTGTTAAAGCTCGTGTGACAGCTTGTACCAGATTCGTTGCCTGTGGTTGGTAGATCGCTAACCTCAAGCCAGTTGAAGCCAGTCGGTGCTTCGTGCCACTTTATCGCTCCTAACACTTTTATTCACTTCTGCGCAGTCAGCCTATGCTTTTCTGAAATGGAGCACGTCTTTACAAACGATTGTCTGGTCATGACTCTCATATTGTTGTACCTTTTCAGATGCCTGCACTCTACCCAAAGTGCAAGGGCCATGCTCGGGAAAGCACGAATACTATTACTTCAACGCTGGCTCGCAAATGTGTGAAAAGTTCACTTACGGCGGTTGTTTGGGCAACACAAATCGCTTCTCGACGCTGGACGAGTGCAATTCGCGTTGTCAGCGTAAGTAGTTAGCTTGGCCCGCAAATGATGTGAAACTTCTTCCATCGCATCTCGTACATCTTTTCGATCTGCACGAATCTATCCTGTCTTTTTCTGTGAACGTGCAGAGCACTTATTGTTCGTCTTAATAACGTATTCATACATGTGTTCGTGTTTTGTGCACTGCACAAAAATAACGCCCAACTCGGAGGTTGCCTTAATTACGCATAATATTATAGGGCACATGGCCGATTCTATTAAGTATTACCGTTGTCGTCTTTATTGTACGCGTCAATTTCACAGTGCTTCTTGGCAAGAACCGCCGTGTACTCCGAGTTCCGTTTTGTTTCCGCTGTCCACTTTTTGTTTGTCATTTTTCACCCTCATTTTCCTCTATTCTTTACTGCCCCATGTGTGTTATATGAACTTCATTAAGCACAAACCGAATAAAATATATTTGGAGCTATCACTGCAAATATGCTTTCGTCAGTGCACATGTCTGTAGATACCTGTGTCACATCATTCCTGCACTTAGATCACCATCGCTTTGCTTCAGCAGTAATTGCTTCAGTAGTTGCATAGTAAAGTGCTCGGAAAGTCTTTGTATGCCATTGCTTAGCTTTCTGAAATTCAAATGCCCTTCAGTGGGATGCTTTGCGGATATCACTATTTTTCTTTCAAAGATTTCAGAATTGTCCATGTGCCATATTTTCCATCACTGAACACACTTAGCGGAAAAGGCTAGCATGTTATTGAGCTCAGGCATTGATGAATTGCGAATACAACGCATTCAAATTATCCCAGGTTCACAACTTAGTGCAGGACTGTCGACGACAGGGTCAACCTTCTGCTCGGAATGTATTCGGCTATTCAAACTAGATTCGTTGGGGTTCTGTTTGATGGCTCTTGGTTTTTGACGATTTTGGCGAAAACTTCACAAAAGAAGCGTGAAGTAGGCGGAATCAGAGGGTTTGGGGAAGGGGGGGGGGGCATCGTAGAATTTGATAGAGTGCGAACGCGACGGTTGACCTTGGTCGTCGACTGACATTGTCTGCTTGTATTCGTGCTGTAAGCAAGATAGGTATCCTTGACGTAACCCAAATTTTTAGGTCAAAAAGTCCGACTGGAGCAATGTTTTTTATTTCTGCGAGGGCCAATCTTCATGTTTCCACTTAAGGCCGATGTCATACTCTGCGGATTAGCTAGCGAATCGTTATATACGAGCGTTGCACCAGCGAGTTGAGTCGTGCAC